ATAAAATAAAATAAAAATAAAAAAGAAAATGAAGTCTTCAGTACAGGGTCTACAGAGATTAGACTCATAGTGATTCTCTGGGTTTCAGCCTCCCAAGCACTGAGATTACAAGTGTGTGCCGTGATGCCCAGTCTGTCTCCATCTCAGTGCACCCCAGGGCTGAGGCCAGTACTTTTTTTTTTTTTTTTGAGACAGGGTCTTGTTACACAGTCCAGTCTGGGCTTGAGCTCAATATGTATTCCCAGCTGGACTAGAGCTCCCTGGAGCTCCTGCCTCAGTTTCTGGAGTGCTGAGGTTACAAGTGTGCATTACATTGGCTGGCCTTCTTTCTTGTTGAGAGTTTCTAAAGATATAAAACACTGAGTAGCTACGATGCTAAGTGAGTTCCCTCCGTGGCTGTGGATGCAGTTAGCTCAAGGGGCCTTAGGGCCTCTCACACTGCTGTCCTAGACACAGGAAGCCCTAACTGAGATTCTAGACCACATGGAACCTCAACTGAATCATGGGAGGGGGCAAAAAGAACGTAATACTGTCAGATATATGAAGGACTGTGCAACAGAAAAAGGCAGCAAGGAGGTGTCTGCAAGGTACAACTGGGTTTAAGATAAGAAATTTTTTCAATTATACTTCACAGAAATGCCAGAGAACACATCAGAAGAAGTGACGAGATGACCACTCTGGTTCTATCCAACATGAAAACAACAGATGATTTAGAAATTCAAAGACTTCAGTTTACCAGGAAGGAAATGTTTTAATCATGGCATTTACATGATACATAAATGTCTGTGACTTCAATAAACACCAGAATGAATTAATGCAAACACTTTATACAGCAATTATGTGCTACCATGAAATATCTTTCTCAGCTTAGAGGTAAAGGCACACAGCCTCTTGGTTCCCAACTCACCTGCCCTTGCTGTCCTGCATGTTGGCGTTGGCGCCAGCCTGCAGAAGGGCCTCTGCAATCTGTGCCATCTCAGACATCATCTCTGCGGAGTGTTTCTTTGAACTGTACAATGCCACAAGGTGTAACGGTGTCTCCTGAGCCCCTAATGTAGCAGCATTGACGAGGGCCCCATTCTTAATAAGGAAAGTAGAGGCAAAGACATCTCCTTGAAAAGAAAGAGCAAGACACACTAATATGATAACAGTCTGGACAAGCCATTCTGGCTTTCCTCAAAAGGAAGCAGCTGATACCCACAAAAAAGAAGAAAAATTCAGTGTGTCTAAAGGAATTCCTAGGACACAGGTCAGTGGGAATTCATCACTGAGATTATAGAGTACAAACTCCGACTCAAAAGGTTCTTCACCCAGTTTCTTACTTGTGGCATCTGTCCTGCTGCCTCACCTCAATAACCCTATACTATCTAGGAATACGAGGCTCCCAAGCTGGAGGTGGTGGTGCATGCCTGTAACTGCATTTACTCAGAAGATGGAGGGAAAAGAATCACAAGTTCAAGGCCAGGCTGGACAACTTAATGAAACTCTGTCTCAAAGTAAAGAGGACTGACAGTCCCTGGGGCTCAAGCATTCCCTGGCTTCAATCCCTAGTACTGGGGCAGAGGTTTCTTTTATGATTCACAGGCATCTTCCAGTCACCTCAAAATGGGCTTCCAAGATTTTCCTCAGCATAATTTCTCTCTTACTCCCTTTTTCTAGCTCCCACTTCCTGACCACAGGAGGACAACAAGGGATTCTCTGTGAATCCCTTCCCTTGCCTTAATACTCAGAGTATTTAGGTATAAGATTTTACGCAGGACTATCTACCAATTTCAAATTAAGACTGAATAACTTACATAGAATAATTTAGTAATTTAATTTGCCAAGTTTGACTATTTCTCTGTATGATAAAAAAGTTTCAAATGTTGATAAAAGAATAAGAACTATGTTTATCTAAGGATATTACAAGTATGCAATTGTGAAAATATTAACTCTAGACTGGTCCCATAAAAATATGGTTGAATTCAGAACTAAGCCATGAGTGGCAATTTATAATAAAAAATACTGTAGAAAGCCCGGTAAAGTATGCTTCTAGCTTTGAGGAGGATAAAGATAAATTAATTAAAGTTGCTCTAAGATTAAAATCCAAGGGCTGGGTACAGATATAGCTCAGTGGCATAAGCACCTGCCTGGCAAGCCCAAGGTCCTGAGTTCAATCCCTAGTACCAAACAAACAAACAAACACCATAATAAATTTCAACCTTCCTTGGCTTTATTTCTATTTATACTTTAAAGTATGAAAAACACTAGCCATATATAAAGTGATGTTTCATAAGCAAGTAAGAATAACAAAGCATCAAAGATAATAAACAGAGAAAGCTTCTAGAGACAAATGTGCACCCTTTCACTTAGGTCACTGTGCTCACTAATCTCCAGGTGACACCAATTAGCTCCCACACAGAAAGGAGACAGAAATGAGCCGTGTGTATATTTTGTACCCACAAGACCCTGGGGAGATGTCTGGGAAGAAAATGGGTTAATCGGTCAGGACTACTGTGTTCCACCTTAACAAAATGGTTCTAATTCGAATCAATTTATGCTACCAGGCAACTTAAGACCTCTCTTACCAGCCCTTTCTCCTAAAATATTTTTATTTTTCTACTCCCATTTTTAAATGAAAAAGTGTACATACAGGATACCACACATGCAGAAGACAAAGTGAGTATGCTGCACAGAAAAAAGGATATAGTACAGGAAAAAAACTATCAATGGCTGCAATGGGACAGAAGGCATAACAAACATTTCATATTCTAAGCCTTTTTAAAAGACAGATTTTAGATTAGATTTACTTCATTAGTAAGATCCAAAGGTAAACTGTTCTAACTCATATGTATCTCACACAAAAAAAAGCTATTTGGAAGTTATTAGAAATTGAACACTGCTAAGCAGGAGTGGTGGTATATGTGTAATTCTTGTTTAGGAAGTCCAGGCAGGAGGATCACAAGTCTGAGGCCAGTACTGGCAACTCAGTGAACCCTTGTTTCAAAATTTTAAAATAAAATAAAATAAAAAATTTTAAAAGGATGGAAGGAAACAAGAAAGGGGACAGGGGAAATAGGGGAAGAAGAGATGAGAGAGAAAAATGGAAAATTACTGATGTTACATGTGAAAACAAAACAGTCCAGCAGGTAAAAAGCTAGAGAAAAGAAACAACCAACATCAAAATTGTATAACAACAACAACAAAAGGAACAGAAAATAAAAGAAGCATCACCAAAATTTCTGGCATAAAGAAATGGGTAATAAAGTTTAGAAAGATTTCTATTAAAAATAGCTAAGGCTGGAGATACAGGTCATAGTAGAGCACATGCATCATGCTCGAGGCCTTGGCACTAAAAAACATTTAAAAAAACCAAAAAACATTTTAAAAAAGAAAAAAAAAAAAACCCAACTCTGCTTGGTGCTTAGAAGTTCCAGTTACTTTATCACCTTGTTCACCAACAATGCCAGATAACTGAAGCATTACTACAGTAATTTCTCCACATAAAAATGTTCCTACAGAAAAGTTAAAATTTGGGGGTTTTATTATTTATTTATGCATTTATGTATTTATTTATTTGAGAGAGAGAGAGAGAGAGAGAGTGTGTGTGTGTCAGTCAGTCTCACTATATAGTTGAGGCAGGCCTTGAACTCATGGTGATCCTTCTGCCTCAGCTTCCCAAAGTGCTGGAATTACATACAAGCATGCACCTCCATGCTGGGCTAAAAGTTTAAAATTTTTAAATCCATATAATTTTTCTTTCAATATAGGCTTCTAACAGAAAATTTAAGGGCATAGCCAGAAAACTTCATTATTCAATGAATACAGCCAGCTAGGTGTACTTTTGTAACTCCAGTTACTCAGGAGGCTAAGGCAGGAGGATCACAAGCTTGGGGCCAGTTTGGACAACTTAATGAGATCTGTCTCCAAACAAAATTGTAAAACGGTTAGGGCTGTGGGGCTTGCCCAGTACACATGAGGCCTGAGTTCAATCCCCAGTACCACCATAGAAAAATACTATGTTACATGCTCATCCAATAGATGGCGCTGTTTTCACATTTACTAAAAACAACTGGCCAACAGCACCTATGTAACTAATTCACTGAGGCTGGAAATGTAGGCCCTGGGTTCAATCCTCAGGACCACAAAAACAAAACAACAAAACAGGGAAAGGAAAGGATGAAGGGGAGATATTCACTGATGGCACTATTACAGTTTTTTTTTCCATTAACTTTATTGAAGAAGAGAAAGTCTGTTCTTTTTTAATTTTATTTTTTAGTATTTTTTTAGGGAAGTATCTACAGGGTGTTCAGGGTCTCACTACTACACAGGACTCGTAGTGATCTGCCTGTTTACAGCCTCCCAAGAGCTGGGATTACAGGCCGTGCCACAACGTCCAGTCTCAACTGCCATCTCAGTGTGCTCCAGGGGTGGGGCCAGCATGGCAGGCCTGGGGAATTGAACCCCTGGCCCCTGTGCCTGCTTGCAGGCACTTTAATCCACTGAGCTATTTGGCCCACCCTTACAGTTTGGTTTTTTTTTTAAGTTTATTTAAAATCATTTGTATCACAAACATAAAATCTGGGGAAGTCCTTCTCCTGCCCACCTTACAGTTTAACAAGTAGAAAATTATATTTTTCATTAAAACAAGGCTACACCTTATCCAGATTAGGTTAACTGAAGGAGATAACTCTCTGGGTATGAGCATGCCTCTCGCAGACTCGAAGGTACAGGCTGCATACTGAATCCTTTTGAAGACTGGCATATTTAATTAGTAGGATAACCATTATTCAGTTGCAGATTCTACTTCAATCCCAGAACTAGATCTAGATCTCATATATTAAAGACATTCCTTCACTCCTAACACAATGAATTTAAAATAAGGTTAACAGTTAAACTTACTGTATTGTTCAACTTACTCACTTAAGCAGGTCCACAGACTGATAAGCTGAAGGAGAAAAAATAAACATTTCTACAAGAATTGGATCTGATTTGGGCAAAAAATAAAAGCTAGGCAAGGGCAAAACAAAAGCCAGCAAGTTGACTTCACCAGTAGCAGTAAGCCACCATAACTGCAGGACTAGTACTGTTTTCTACCCTCCTCAGGACTCAGTAAAGCAGAAATCATTACTACCTCACAGTTGAGGAAAAGAAGACTCTGTGAGGTGAAATGACTATCTCCAGAGTAAACGCGTGGCCCAGGATTCAAAATTCCACATCCACTCTGAAAAGCCGGCGGCCTGTCTACTTCACCTTGCCACACTCTCCAAAACTAGGGACAATCAAGTTTATTACGTCCATAGAGTAAGCACATAATGTAGACAATTCATAAATTCTGAGTGGAAGATAAAATTATTTGAAAATAAGTATCAAAAATGTATCACTAGGGCCAACCAGACAGCTCAGCGGACTAAAGTGCCTGTGCTCTGGCAGAGTGTAGTGGCGAAGGTTCGATCCCCAGCGTGGCATGCTGGCTCCACCCCTGAGGCTGAGAGGGCAATTGAGACAGGGCATGGTGTAATCCCAGCGCTTGGGAGGCTGAAAATGGAAGGATCACTAAAAGTCCAATCTATGTAGTGAGACCCTGTAGACTCTTGCAGACCCTGTCCTAAATTCACTAAAAAAATTAAAAAATAATTAAAAAAGTATCACTACTTCTTAGCAATTTTGGTAACTAAGCAATCACCAAAATGTTTAATAAACAATTTCATCAAGCATAACAATTTAACTCCCTGAGAGTAAAGGGACATAATTCTCAAATTGTTAAATTTCAGTTAACAAGTATATCTGTTTCCAAAATAAACACTTGGCCACTAACCAGTAGGGGAAAGAACAATTCCCTATGTGGTAGCAACTTTCCCCACAGAATACACACCCAGTGCTGAGCACACAGTGACTGCAAAGCGCAGAGTGGGGCCTGGGAAAATGGCATCTGCTCTTGATGCTGACATGCTCTAAGGATTTCCTCCCCAAAAATGAGCAAAATTTTCCATCCTACCAGTCAACACACTCAATAGTTTTTCCTTTTGAGACAGGGTTTAGTACACAGTTCAGGCTGGCTTTGTAGACCAAGTTAGACTTGAACTCACAGTAAATCTCCTGCCTCAGTCTCCTGAGTGTTGGGATTATAGGCATGCACCTCCACATCAGGCTTAAACTAATACTTTTAACACATGGCTTAGAAAAAAATTGATACTGGGGCTGGGGAGATGGCTCAGTGGAATAAGCGCTTCCCTGGCAAGCGCATGGGCCTGAGTTCAATCCCTGGTTCCACCAAAAAAAAAAAAAAAAAAAAAAAAAAAAAAATTGATACTAAAACCTTTGCCCTCAATGGACAGAAAGCCACAGCTGCAACAAAATCAACAATGAAGTACAACATTTACCAACAAAGGGCAACCTGTATGTAAATGGCAAAGATATCAGAGAGAATAGTAGAATCATAATGCATATCAGAAAGCTAAAATTAAACATGGTTAAGATGTGGTGAGCCAGTATATTCTCGTTTTGCTGTCCATAAGTGGTCATGGCAAAATGTTTCATTAAACCAACTATCTCTCTACAAAATGAAGACTTCCACACTTTTGAAAGGTTTCACTTCCCATAAGAATTCTACCTTTCCATTCTCATTCTGTCAAAACGGAACACCACAATGGTGTGGTCGCGCGTCACATCACATGCCTATAATCCCAGTGCTCAGGGAGCTGAGGGAGAAGGTCAAGGCCCGGCTGGGCTATGTAGTGAGTTCAAGGATAGCCTACACTACAATGTGAGACACCCTGTTTCAAAAAACTGAAGAAAAACAAACAAACACCATATCACAGCAAAATTAAACAAGATTCACTGGAGATGTATGAATTAGTAAGGTCATGGAAAAATCAAAACAAAAATTGGTCCTCTATTTTTCCAACTTGAAAAATTAATTCTGGGCTAGGGATGCAGTTCTGCAGTAGAGTGCTTGTCTAGCATTCACTCTTGGATGCTAGACTGGACTGGCCTCCACAACAGTAAAAAGTTCATTCAAATAAAACTATCACTCAGTCATGTCAGAAGTCTAGTCTGTGAAAACTGAATCCAAGAATACACCTAAACTTGCACGATTTTTTACTTTCCTTCCATAACCATGCTGGGATTAAAAAGTTTAGTCTTCCTAGCACAATTCTTAGAAAAGTGATAATGAACAAGTAAATGTATCAAGTGTTTGCACATGAAAGATACTTCTTCTCAAAGGCCATCTTTCTACTATTCTTCCCCAGGCCCTGTTGGCACTATCAACAGCCAAACTAACAAGCACAGGCAATAGGTCTTCAGTCCCTCCTCTGACCCAATGCCCACAAATTTTAAGTCACACAGCCTACAAGTATAGACTTGAGATGCCCTTGGGAATTTCTGGAACTGAGTAAGAGAGTCTTCAAAACCACACAGATAAAAAATATTGCCCACAGGAAAGAAAGTGTAAGGTATGTTTCTTCCTACCTCTTTGGATTCCTTTATGTAACAAACTCCAGCCATTCTTGTCTACCATATCTACATCTGCTTTATGACTAACCAGTGTGGTGGCAATACTCTCAAGTCGTCGTGACAGTGCAAGATCTAAGGCAAGATCTCCGTTATGATCCACTTCATTCAGCTTCCCTGGGAGCTGCAAATACAGGTAAGTCAACACTGAGTAACAAATTATAACCTGTTTTAATTTCTCTCACCTTGACCCTGAAAGTCAGGTACTGCTAAATCAACTATTTAAAAATGTGGTGGCCCAGGGATTTAGCTCAGCGGCACAGTACCAGCCCGGCATGTGTGAGGTCATGAGCTGGATTCCCAGTACCAAAAAAAGAAAAATGTGGAAGTAGCTTTTGAATTGGGCAATGCACTAAGACTGGAAAAAGCCTGAGCAGCAGAACAGACACCCGGATTTCCTTGAGCAAGCTATTAAAAGAAACATACACATTAAAGATTGTGCGAGTCATAACTCAGAAGGAATGAAGAGCACTGTAGAGAAAAACTAAGCATTAGTTTTGGATAATAAAAAAAAATGTAGAAGTACCTGTGAATCCATCTCAATCAGATAAAGGAAGACCACATCTTCTCTTTCCACTTTGATAGCTTTATGTAATGGGTATTCTGTCTTGGATTTGATCATTTTGTACAATAACTGAGCACTCATGCTACTAAAGTCCTCCTTTCGCAAATCATCCTAGTGATTAAAAACAGTGAAAAGCCAAACAGATAAAATATGAACAATAACAACTCATTTATTCAGCCTTAAGCATGTGAATGTTGGGTACTACTTTAAAGGCTTACCATTTCTTAGTCAACCCCACAAAAAACTTACATAGTCCTACTATCATCCTTGTTTTATAGAAGATGGCAAAACACACAGAGGCTAAGGGGCCTGCACAAGTTGGGACACAACTGAACAGTTGGTTAGGATCTGGAACCAAAAGGCCTATCTCCCATGTCTGCATTCTTAAGATACCAGCACTGTGCCTCTCAGTGAGATACAATAGCATGAGACCACTCACATTCAACAAGAAGCAAGAGCCTTCCTGAAGCCTACCAAGGAGGAAATTACAAAATTAATCAGGTGGGGCACGGTGGCACAGGCCTGTAACCCCAGCACTCAAGAGGCTGAAGCAGGAAGATCGCTGTGAGCTCCAGGCCAGCCTGAGCTACAAAGTGAGCTGAAGCCCAGCCTAAATTGCAGAGCTGCCTCAAAAAGACCAGGAAAAAAAAAACCAAAAAAAACAAAAAAACAAAAAAACCAGAACTTCCACAAACAATGCTCCATTGAGTCACAGCTGTCTCTATTGATCTCTTTATTTCTACCTAACAACAGAGATAGGTTACCACTCCTATTTTAATTATCTCCCCCCTATTTTTTTTTCTGTTTGTTTGTTTTCTGAGACAATATCTTACTATGTAGTTCAGATTGGCCTTCAACTCTCTATGTAGCCAATCTCCTGGCTCAGCTTCACCACTACTTAGGATTACAGGTGAGTGCTACCATGTCCAGGTCCTATTCCAACTTTTTACAGGTCAGTTCTTTTCTGAAATACTAAGATTCTTTCCTCAAAATTGTTGGATATCAAACAATTCACATAAACTAATATAAAATCATAGCCCTGGCCAGTTGTGTGTGTATACAGGGGGACACCTATAATTCCAGGCTGAGTCAGAAGGACTACTAAAGTTGAGGCCTGCTAGGTTATATAGTGAGTTCAAGGCCAGCCTAAACTACATAGTGAGACCTTGTTTCAAAATTAAAAAAAGGGGCTGGCAAGATGGCTCAGTGGTCTAAAGCACCTACTTGGAACAAGCTTGGCAGAGCACAAGGACCACGGTTCAATCCCCCAGCACCACATGCCAGCCAGCCCCGCCCCCTGGTGGGCTGAGCTGGCCACACACACACACACACACACACACACACACACACACAATAAATAAATAAATGTTTAAAAAAAAACAACAAAATTAAAAAAACAAACAAACAAACAAAGCCTTGATTTTTTAAAAATGTAAAACACAACAAAGAAATGTAAAACTTATTTTTTAAATAAAAGCCAGGAAAGGCAAATCTAAGTTTAATGATGTCTCTACCTGAAAAAGTAAGCAAGAAGGCACTATAAGATGGGTATGGGGGTGCACACCTATAATCCCAGCACTTGGGAGGCTGAGGCAGGAGGATTGCTGTGAGTTCAAGCCTAGCCTGAACTACACAGAGAGATTTTATCTCAAAAAACCAACCTCCTGCCTCCCTCAAAAAGAAGACAGTGTGAACTGACACTCTGACCACCCAGGCTTGCTTGGAACAGAGGCAGCTTACTTCTGCAGCTTGGCTGCAGCATCTGCAAAAGGAAGAGGACAGCAGGTGACCCCTCCTTCTGATCCTGTTTCTGAGCCAGGTCTGCCCTCTTGTCCCTCCTCCAATTCTGAAACCGAAGAACCACCAGACTTGCAGAACTGAGAGTGTCTCACAGATCATCTAACCCAACTACTTATCCTTTAATCCTGTAACAAGAGAAAGCGAGGCACCAGAGAAGTGACTGTCCACAGAAGCAGGCCTCACGCCTGGGTCTTCCAACTGCCCACGAGAGGGCTTCAACCTCTCACTCACCCAGTGACTAGCAATAATCTCCGCACAGTAGTTCATCAGTGTGCTGGCATTTAGCTCCTCCGCAGTCTGATAGAAGCGAATGCAGTTCCTAACATTCACCAGAGACATAACACCCTTCTCACATCTGTAAGAGAACATTAATGAGGCAAATATTATTAAGACAAATATATTCGTAAGTGAACAAATGAAAGCAATAATCTGTGTACTAGCTTGCTATGGTACAAAGTATGAGGTTATGTGGCTATGATTAATTACAGCTGGGCTCCCATATTTTAAAAGTATTAGAATTTCATTATGATACTGTTCTGTTTTGAGACAGGGTATTGCTATGAAGCCTAGGCTGTCCTCCAACTCATTATATACTCCAGGTTGGCCTTGTACACACAGTATCCTCTTGCCTCAGCCTCCCAAATGCTGGGATTTATAGGCATGTACCACCATGCCTGACCATTATATTGTTTTGCTCAATTCTACTAAAAATCAAAATAACTTACAAATAAACTTGTTGAGAATACTCCCACTGCCTCAAAAGTAATCACATGAAACTTGCCAATCATATACAGAGGTCATTTTATTTATTTTTTAAGAGTAGGAAACATTTATTCAAAGCAAGCAAGCTTCTCTAAGAGGAACAGAAGAGGGCCTACCAACCTCACTTCTTTTTTTTTTTTTTAATTTATTTATTTTAGTTGAATGGAATTTCTTTTTTTTCATAATTTTATTGATAAACAGATAGCAATGAGACAGTTTCAAATCAAATCGCTAGGACAGTTTCAATAACTAACACGCTGCATACATTCTTCTTAGTGGTTAATTGCTGTACAAGATGTGGACTTGATATCCTATTTACAAACACCATTAGGAAAACCAACCTCACTTCTTAAGGGTGTTTTATTGAGCAAAGCCATGAGGTGAGGAATAGTCAATAGGTAGGACAAAACTATAGTCAACTAATAAGGTTACAAGTGTAGTCATGTGGATAATATCGATCCAAAAGGAAATCACAAGGTGATCCATGGGGAATTTAAAATCTAACACAATGATAGATTAACTTCAGACTTTTGACACTTGATCATATGGGACACATCTGTATTCCTATTAGCAGAGCTCAATAAATTAATGCCTCCTTAAAAGCAAACTTGTATGGTCTATGAACTGTAATTCAATATATAAAGCCCTATTTTGAAAGTCCATCCAAAAAATCTATAATATATAGAAACAATTAAGAGTCAGAGCACAGTATGCCAAGAAAGGGAAAAACTGGCTATAAAAACTGGCCAAAAGCCAGGTAACAAGATTCAAAATTTCAGAAGGGCTACCTCAGAGAAGAGAACATGGACTACTTCAGAGAAGGAAAAACTGCACACAGGCAAACAGGCCTCTGATGGCACAAAACAAGACCATCTTAGCTTAGGTGTGGCAAGTGCAAAGATGCAGGATTCCTTTACTCCAGAATTACTGGAGACCTTAGTGAGCCTCCCACTACTTAGGCCTATAGGCAAAGAAGCCCATGACACGGGTCCTTCATCTCCCCTGCTTCCATATCTCCCTGCAAGTCAGATTCAATCAAATCAACAAAGGCTTGCTATGTTATTCGGAATATTCCCTCATACCTCACAGTTGCTTCTGTCTTACAGCCTCCATCAAAACTTTTCTCTACTCACAAAGACAGAATGTAATAAAGTAAGCACAAGAACTTCAAGGTAAGAAAGACCCAAGCTGAGATCCAAATTACTTGAACTCTGTGTTTCTGTTGCCTATCTCTTCTGTAAAATAAACATGATATTGTGTTCCAGGGGTTTAGGAAAATCTTTTGTTCTTTTTTGTTTTTTGAGATGGGGGTCTTGTATGTAGTTCAGGCTGACCTTGAAATCACCACATAGCCCAGCTGGCTTCAAATTTGCAATGATTCTCCTGCCTCAGCCTCCAGAGTGCTGAGATTACAGTCGTGCACCACCATGCCCAGCTCTTTTGCTTTTCAAGAGAAAGAAAAAAATACATTCAGCATAGCATGAGGTGCACGATAAGTAACCCTCTTTTCTGCCTTTCTCCTTCTCTAAGGCCTGACATTCCTTTCCTAGGGAAAAACAGAAAAGGGATGTAAGTCAACTTCAAAATTTAATAACTAATATTAATTTATTTTAGTACTACTATAAATAACTGACTAGAAGGTAAATTTCCAACCTTAGCATGTGACCTTTAGGTAAAAGAAGTGGAGAAAGACCAGTGGAGATGAGAAGAGAAAGGAGGGACCTGAGAAAGACCTGGGAAGAACAAAGAACAAACTTTCAAAGCTCACAAGACCTTAAATCAGGAGTGAGAACACAGCCATGGAGCCCCTTCTCCACCTGGTGCTTAACAACGGGCACACACTTCCGCTAAGAAATGTGCATGAGTGCTCTGCTCAGCACTGCTGATCTGGTGCAAAGAGCCACATCTCCCACCACATTTTTAAAATCTAGTTCAACAACAAATAAATGAATAAATAAATAAATCAAGCTTACTACAGTGTAAGCTTTTATAGTAAGAATGTAAGTTTCATACAAAAGCATTCTATTCTTTACCTTAGTTTTCTGTATTATTGGCTTCCCCAATCTCATACCACATCACAGCAATGACTGACAAAGCTGCTCTGACCTTAGCCACAAAATCAGACCATCTCAGGAGAAAAATCCCCTTTTCAGATATATGAAGCTCTTGCACTTATACACAAAGATATACAGTCCTGCCATCCTAATATCTAACACCATGGAGCCTAAAACACTGCATGATCTCAGGGAGTCACACTCCACTGTAGAACTACTTTACAAAGCACTTTAGTATAGACAAATGCTGAGGGTTTGAAAATCCCTTTTCTTCTGTTTTACTGCCGAAAGACATGCCACTGAGAAATTCTAACATGTTTCATGAGGACATAGCTTTTGTTAAAAGTGGCAAGCATTTCATTTTCCCTTCGGAGGCCATTTGGATAGGCTGTAAGTAGTAAGAGATATGATTTATACAACTGAAAAACATGTAATCTTATTTTAAAATTTAGATTCTATTCAATATAGAAAGCATGCAGATGCACAAACACAACAAACCTAATTTTAAAAGTACAAATTAAGCTTCCCACAAACCCTGGTTCAGTTTTCCTATCAAATCCCATATGTATCTAAGAAACAGAAGAATTACTGAAAGGAAAAATAAATATAAAGGAAACCAGGGCTGGGTTATAGATGACTTATCTTTTCTTTACATAATTTTGTATTTTCCAAATACCACACAATGAATATGTACTATGCTTTTATCATCAAGAAAAATTACTAAATTAACTTATTTTGCATGTTAATGTTAAGAGTACTTCCCTGATAAACCAAAAAAAAAAAAAAAAAAAAATCTTCCTTTCACTAAACCACTGATGGCATTCCAAAACTATCAAGATTCCTACATTAAAGGGGCTGGAGAAGTAGCTCAGCAGCACAGTGCCTGCCTGGCAAGCACGAGGCTGTGAGTTTAATTCCTGGTACCAAAAAAACAAAGAAAAGATTCCTACATTTTTTTTT